CATATAGCCATATAGGATAGGATAGGATATTCCAAAATATGGCCCTTCACCTTTCCAACTTTAGGATATTAGTTCATAAAAATTATGATAAAATAATTTGGGAACCGATAATGAATTTCTCTTTGTCTACTCCCCATCATTTTGCTCCTTTAAAATATTTAATATACTAAAAGATGTTAATATTTCGAGTCTCGACCAATGTGAGACGTCTCTATTCACCTTACAAATAAATTTTCTTTCATGAATAAAGAATCACCAAGTTTCAATCAAATAGTATAGATAATAGCAAAAAGCTTGCTTTTATCCAAAGTCGACTCATCTTTTCTTTAAAGCACACTATAAATTTGAGAAGTTTGAACTCAACCACAAATCATATTATGGAATAATCTAACACCAATGCTGCTATTTGCTGTACCCTTAACAATCCTCTATTTGAACAAAGATCTTATTGAGTACTATTCTTTCAAATATTTTATGTAAGGGCACATCTCCTTTTTGATGAGAGCTTTACTTACTATGAACAACACACATTTCATTGAGATTGAGATATGACTCACCAATTTTTATATAACTAGATTTCGAGGCTCACTATTTTTTATAGCTTCATCAGGATTCAAACGTACAACTAATTTAGGACATCACTTAAATACTTTGAAGAGTTTATAAGATACTAGATTCTCATTCCACACGCGTGATAATTGATAAACAAGAATAATATAACAAGCAAAGAAAGAAAAATAAACAAAATAGAGATCACTTATAAAGTTTACTAGACCTGATTATTATAAAAACTCTTATCCTCTCTCTAGTGTGAAAGATCTGATCTTTATTCACTAACTCTTGCTCAATACAAGAATTAATCCTACAAAAACTTACCCTTTAAAAGATGTGATATATTTTTTAATTTATAAAAAAGCACTTCATTATTATTAATATACCTCTATGTTAGCATTTGTTTGCTTTATTATAAAACACATAAAATAATATTGGAAAGTAGAGAAAATGGTACTTAGCTGTCCCTTCATAGAAAATAATGATGAAATGGTTATTCAGCTGGACACCATCATTTCAGGCTTCAGCTCAGTGTGCTAAGATTACATGTTGGGTTGAGTGACATATATCAACTTTTCAATTTAATTTCTTTATGATAATGACACCCACAAATCGAATATATCCTTCCATGTCTTTCCCTCCATTTCAATATTCAACAAACAACACACACTTCTCTTCATTATTTTCCTTCTATATTTAAACTAATTTATACTTTACATCTATATTATTATGGATACAAATCAATAAAAGTATGTAAATCTGATGCAAGACGCATGCAGTGTCATTGCCATGCTCATCCAGACATGTCGTCTATCACCGCATGCCTATAACACACTCTTCCCTCTTACTTTTATGCCATCTATTTATTTTTCATTGTACTTTTGGTGGCGAGTGACTCCTCGCCACTTTGAATGTTCACGCTTGTCAAAGGCAAAATGCTTTATAATATAAGGGGTACACCTAGTCTCCTCCCTACATCGAGTTGTATTCTTGTCTTGTCGCTAATCTATTCTTTTGCATTAAAGCATACAACAAGCTTTCCAAAATGTCTTCAAACGTTTTCCAAACCTTTTTTCTCCAACCTCGTTTCCTTGAGAACGGGGGTGGAGGTTGCGATATATAGTCGTAGTGCCGCCGGCTATTCGATTCTCGTTGGCTGACTTGTTCGTGGGCAAAAGTAAGTGTCGCACAATCGCTTTGGGAGTCCTTTGAAAGGTGCGATTGTGACACACAGCGCCCTTATTTTATTGGGCATAGTCGTCAAAATGGGCGACAAATCACTTTCTATTGCTTTATAAGCGACACACTACCTTTATGTATGTGACGAAAGCTTATCTTCTTCGCTTTTGAAGTGACTTTTGAGTACTTCATTGCTACTCTAGCGACTATATAAATTATTTTCGCCTCTAAATTTCATCGCTATTCAATTCATCGTATTTATATATATATATATATATATATATATATATATATATATATATATATATATATATATAGCTTTAGTTAAGTGTATAAAAATCTAAAAAAATCATATGGATTAGGGTTAAAGTTGTGACAGCCAAAAAAAAAACTTTCACTTTTAGATTGATGTTACCTTGAGGATTGTAATTACAAGCTTTTTCTTGCATGCCTATGATATTATAATACAAATAAACCACAGATATTTTCTCTGATACAAAAAGCAAAAGCATTAAAGTTAGTTTATTATTATTATTAAAAAGAATGATTAATAGACAATTAGAGGAGAATGATTTAGTAATTGATCCAAAGTTTTTGGGACCCATATCGAAGAACCGTAGCTTCTGCCCAATCTGTTTCTGAAAACTAATTAATGGAATACCCACTTTTGTTTTGGGTTTGATTAAGTGAAAAAGATAACTATTAATTATAAAGTTGGGGTGCGAAGATATTCTTCCCATCTCTGCTTCATTGTCATTTGTTGTTGTTGGGTTTGGAGCATCCAAAATATTCAAACTTTTTTTTCTCTCCAAATTACAAATTAGGTTTTTTTTTCACCACCCACTAAAAATAGCCTCAAATGCTCGACACATATGTGATGATCACATAATTTATTTAGTTATTATATTTTTTTATAATTTTATTTTAGTTCACTTCAATTATTAGCAATCCTTTTCTCCTGATGCTTATACGCCAACCTAATTTCCATTTGTGTGAGAAGGTAACACGCGTAAATGCGACATGTACTCAATAAACCAAAAAAAAAATTGTCCTCAAAGATCAAATCAATAAAAGGTTTTGCTTTATATGATCCAATTCCCCTATGATTATAAACCCCTTTTTTTGTATTAAAATAGCATACATTTAGGATAATATCTCTCCATTCTCATGAGATAATTTTTTTAGTTAAAGCTGAAAAGTTTCAATCATAAGTTTGGTCCTTAGGCTTCTTCTCGCGTGCTTGTTTCTATTTGGTCTCCCTAAACTTTCAAATTAATTATGTCTATTTGATCGAGGTTGATTTTCAATAGATTTTGAAGACTTCTATGAGAGCTTAAGGACTTATTTAAAGTATTGAAGGCATAATAGTTATGAAAGTTAAGGAACCAAGACTATTCTATTATACAAGATAAGTAGAAAATAACTAAGAAATTAAAAGAAGACAAAAGTACTTTACATGTAAAACTCCAAATCAAGAAAAAAACACGACTAAACAAAAAAAGAAAAATCCAATATATAAAAAATATTACAATCACGCTTTAAAGATCAAGAGACCTAACAAGCAGTTTATAAGACATTTGTTGTCAATTGATTTTGAGATAGAACTCAGAAATATTGATAATCTTAACTACTTTTCTCTTATTAATTGGTTTTGATATGCAACTTTATGAATATTCGGACTCTCCTTGACCCAAATCACGAATTACAAAAATAGAAAAAAACGCTCTCTCAAACTTTTATAACTCCAAACAAGAGGTGAGATTTTTCCCCACACAAACTTGTACATTATTATACTAACGAATTTAAAAGGAAAGAGCAATTAGAAAGAATGAGGTGGTACCACAAAAAGTTACATGTATGCAATGGAGAATAAGATAAATTGGGTGAGTCTTTTATCAATTGGCCAACTTTTGGCTCATCATTAATTGATGCTTTGGCCAAGTGGCCCTAAGGAACCCCTCATTCTAAGATGGAGACATTTATGGATAAATATCACCTTCTTTTTTTTT